GAAACGTCCGATAACCATATTTTTAGCCAGTGACAACCATTTAATTCCTTTCCTTTTTTACCAATTTTTAACATGCCTGGCTACACACCGAACATTTTTTTTTACTAACATGTACATGTACAATGTATGCCTTCACTGACAGGGAAAACAGCATAATTCAAGAACACCAAAAACATAATCAAAAATAGCCTTCTTATTATATACTGTACTAACAGTGTTTTATCAGAAATTTTGTAACAAACCAGCAAAGAAAACCACATTGTGTTGAACTAAGTCATTCAAAATGAGCTCAGTCAAATGATCAAAACTGAAAAAAACTTACTTTCGTAATCTGAAAAACCAGCTTCTTTAGCATGTTGTTCTTTGAGGTCTGATTCAAATCTGGCCAAGTCAGCATCCAATTTCCGTATGTGCTTATCAACCTTGAGGAAATAAGAAATACATCTGTACTGAATATACAACACCTAAACAAGGACTTAATTGAAAAAGATGTTCCTCTTCAATTTTCAGTTCTCAGGCAATAATCCTGGATTTTTTTTCACCGAAAGGTCGGTTCGTGTTATGTTCGTGTGTTTCGGTGGTTATGGGCGACCGTCGCTTCTTTTGTTGACTCAAGCAATGACGCGGGTGACAAAAAAAAAATCTTATTATATCTAGTTCTGGTTTTGTTCGATTTCGTTGAAATTTTAAGATGATGAAGCTGGATTGTTAAGGAATAGATTTTACTACTGCCGATATGAGGTAGCTATTAACGCTAAAGTGATATATCGCTTCGAAGTCAGGGTTTTGAAGAGATTTTTTTGCAAAGCGTGAGTTCGGCGTGACTTTGTAATCTGAGATTTTCGTTGACCCTGAAGAAACAAGGTTCGGCGAGTAAACATGACAGATTGCGTAATTCAAAGTTGACCGAGTGAAGGTCTGCGTCTGGTCTCCGACAGAAAAAAAAAATAAAATAAAATAAACCACTGGTAGAACATGAACCGCGCTCGGCCCATGGCCGCGCGGTTAATTAATCTGCAAGCTGGGCACGCTTCGACCGAACGGACTGAACATTAACTTTCATTTTTTTGTGACTGTGGGTCTAGCGCGTATTACACATACGCGCGCTAGAAAAATGGTTTTCCTATTTGTTTACTGTGTACTTCATGCGCGCACTAACCGTGCGTGCCTGCGCGTGCAGTTTTTGTATGGCGTGGCTCACGGCAATCATTCCACCCACTGAAGAAGGGCTAAGCCCGAAACGTTTAGACTAGCAGATAAAATTTGACACTTTTAGAGCATTTTGAGCATTATTTCTAATTAACGGCACGCATCTTATGAGTTTTTTTTTCTCATTCCTACTGAATTAACGTCAATAATGCTGTCCTTGCAAAAAAAAACCCTCAAGGAGTTAAGTATTTTGGCTGAACCGAAGTCAGCCCAGTTCTTTACCAGCCACGAAAAAGCATCAGGGTGGCCTTGAAAATTCTGAAGAAAAATCCGACGCTAAGATAGTTTCTGTCCCTGTCTCTAAAACTGATCAGCAATCAGCTCCACACATACAGCTCGAAATGTCAAGGAAGTCACAGCAAGAGAACTCTGAAATAGTTCTTGTCGATAATAATTATGGTACAACGTCTGTGTCACATGGCGATCAAAGTTTTGCGCAGTATTTCTGACAACTGCAATATGCAAGTGTACAATTGTATTCGGGCGTCGATAAAACCAGGAACATAGAACATTCCGGAACATCGAATAATTATAATAATTATGCGAAAAATATGCAAAATTTAGTTTTCAAAAGTTCAATCAAACAAAAATAAACTGGTATCAGCTCGGAAAATCAGAACAAAACAAAAACATAACGAAAAAACTGAAAAGAAAAAAAAGAAAGAAAAATGAAAATGACTGCAATGAGTGAAGGCTACCAACTAAGAAGAGTAATCCATTCCTTCCACTCGTTCGCGTTCAGTTTAATCACGTGACAGTCCCTTATTCCCAGAATTCGTTCTTTACAGAAAACCAAGGTGGTGGTGTTCGAACTCCTTAATCAGACCGAAAAATATGGGTACACGAGTGTGATTTCTTTATTCTATTCATTTCGTCAATTCAAAGATATGCATATACACGATTTCTCATGATGAAATAGTTTCACCATGAGATAGAAATAGAAACTCTCCGGCATTGAGTTTCTTGTCTAAACTAATTCGGACTGCTCGAGCTCCGATGACAGTTGAAACAAATACAAACACAAAATTTAAAAACAGTTGGCGAGGCGCTGTCTTGTAGGGTCGCTGGTCAAAACTTTATTGTCCCTAGAAATATTTGTTACAGGTGTTGTCGATCTGAAACTGAATTTTAAGTGTCGCCCACAGTTCAAATGTTTTGTTCAGTACAAGTTAATACTTAATTAATTAAAAATACTTTTACCGCAGGCTATAATCTATTCATCGCTAGTTCAAGTTCTCGTGCAGACCGTTATTTGACATTCGATCAAACTTTTATCGAACTTCTATCGATCCATTTGAACACGACCAAAGTAGACCAGACATACGAAGTGCGCGTGTGAATGCACTGCTCTAATCTTTGATTACTACTAGTTAATAATAACTTGCTTGTTACTCGGGCTCCCGCAAAGGCTTGGTCGGTCATAGTGCCAGGCGTTCCGAACGGAGCGACGCGAATACTGGGGATGATAAATAGCAACATGAAGACGGAACAGTGACAAAATTATGGCTACTGACTTAACAAGCAACTGTTTGATACCCAGACGAACACCTCGGATGTTGAAGAAATAAGGCATCAAAAAAGTGGACGCAATGAATTACCTGGCATTCATCGTCTGAATCGTTTGTGTTGAAAAACAGAGTGCTGTAAAGCCACGTGACGCAATTGGCGGGAAAGAAGAGGAGCCTGCACTCATTGTAGTCAGGTGAATGAATACCCAACACTCCCCACCCCTCCCCTAACGACTCCCCTATCCTCAAAAAATATTTTTTTGATATTTTGAGCCGATATCAGTTTAGTTTTGTTTATTTTATTTTTGAAAATTATATTTATAATTTTTCTCATAATTATTATAATTATTCGATGTTCCGGAATGTTCTGGGATGTTCCATGTTCCTCGTTTTATCGACGGCCTAGACAATATTGGGTCAAAATTTGGCCTCATTAGCATATGGTAACTGCAGAGGAATGAACACAGGCCTTTAGTTGACGTAGCATGCAGTGTAGCCGCGTCGAGCCACAGAAAGCCCGCGAAAAATTACGCCTCGTTTTGGTTTAGGCGTCCCATTTATGGCCCCCCTGTTGGGCAACTCCGTCGTCGTACGCACCCACGAGCGATACTACTAGCCATAATAACCATCAGAAAATCCATTCATGGGTTTTCTCTTCCTTCCTTTATGAGTATGGGGCTCCGCTTGGCGACTCTTGGGGCCACTGGAGCTCCGCTAAAAAAGAAGCAGGAAAAAGAAATCTCAATATGCTAAAACCGGGAGGCGAACCCGGGTCACTTGATTTAGAAGGCCTCGACTTAACCACTACACCACCGAAGCATCAGCCGAAGAAGACTGAACTTGTAACTATAAATACAGCAAGCCTAAAACCACAAAATGAAAGCCAACCGCAAGCAAACCAGAGTGGAACTAACCGCAATAGCGATGTAACTAACCCGCAAGCACTCGGCATAAGTGGTTTAACCATGTACGGTGTATTCACGTGGTCTCCGTTCATTGTTAATTTGTACAAAAAGCCACGGAATGTCACAGAAGGAAGAAGGGCTTCTCTTGACTACCTGCTTTATTGTGTGCTCGCTCTTCGTGTTTTGTAAAGAAAGTTTTGGAACTGATAATGTCAATCGTTTTAATTTGGAGCGGATCGGCCTACGAATTATATTGCTTGAAAGCCTGCCAAATGAGCAAAGTTCATGCTCATTCTCACGAGACAACGAGTTCAAAATACGAAAACACTGACAAAAAGCTATGACTACAGACAGAAAAACAAACTATGATGCTGAGACGAACAACTTAGATGTTCAAAAAATCAGGAATCGTCGTAAGCGTCGTAAGTGCTCCGACGATGAGACAAACAACGTGCAATTAAATAAAGAGGATAGTCAACGAAGTAACTTGAATATTAAACATCTAAGCGTAACTTTGTGTTAAAACATCATGATTCTTTTATTTGTTTTTATTGAGTTCAATCAGCTTACTTGTTTGATGTTGCGGTACGAAGCGCGAGCAAACGCTCTTGGAGCGTCTTGTTTTTTCTTTTTTTTTCTTTTTTGCTGAGGATGAACAGCGGTTGTTTATATTGTTTTTCAAAACTTCGCCGTAGTTTTCTTGCAATTCCTTCAGCGCGAGGACGCCATGTATAAATTAATCGTTTGGATTACATCATTTTAAGCGAGTGAACTCATTCCAGGGAATCCCTCTCACTTAAATCTGTGTTTGTCTAGCGCCGTATCCTAATTGCAGACAAGTTACTTCTCCAAACAAGAAATCTAAATTATAGCCAAAATATAATGTCCTGACGAAAAACTTATTCTATTCAGCCAAATAGAAACAGAGTCGCTCCAACCGCTCAGTTGAATGAATTCTGAAACCTACCGACCACCCTATACACGAACTGATGATCGTCTCAAACGTCATAAACGTGTGTACTTCAAAGCGATTTCTGAATATATTACTTCAGCTAGCTAAGGAAGGATATCTGTGATATGCCCGAAGTTTGGCAAGATCAAACACGCTCTCTCGGTTAAGTTTGTGATCACAGCTAACGATGACTGGTGACGCGTAAACGGCTGTCCAATTAGAATCTCAGCGCAAATTGGGTTTGCTGAATGAGTACATAACCAACTGAGAAAACTGAGATGTTATAAGTAAGTAAGAGAAAGAAATTATTGGAGTTTAGCCCGGTGTTGGGGTCAACAGCTTCAGTTCTTTAGAACTGTCTTTCATGACATTTATTTACCTTATGGACTACTTTAATGGCCAGTTAGTCGATTAAAACCTACTAAAGTAAGACGAAGAAACCTAGAAGAAAGTGTTTTTTTATTAGTTTTATACACCGAATGCAAATATGGCGGACCGCTCGGTTGGCGCCCGGGACGAGTCGCATGCAAGCGAGGCTAGTCAGGCTCTGATGTTTTGTCTTGGCAATGCTTCCCCAGAAAAGTCTTGCTTCGTCGTCGATCTGGTCTGTTTTTGTTTCGCCGTCCCTATAAGTTGTTGTGTTCCTGAATGCCACCAGAAGGAATTGAAATCTTCCAAAGCAGAGAAACTGTTTTTGTTTTTGTTTTTGTTTTTTTTTTTTCGTTTCCGCGGTCACCTCTCAGGGAAAACAGACGAAGGTAAGTAGTTCACGATCGCCGAGGGAACTGTTAAAGTTTGTTCGTTCAGGCTGGGAGATCTTAGAAAATGTGTAAGCGACCGCATTTAGC